CCCCGAAAGACCTTTTTTACGCTCTGAGCTTTTAGTATTGCGAAAAGATGGCTGTTTGAGACAATAGGCCGGGACAGCACTAAATCATGAGACGATATATTACCAAACGTGTATAAATGAATGTAATCAATGAAGTGAAAAGTTTGTTCGAAGAATTTATTGTTTTCCAAGTTTTCTTTGTGTGTGTGTGTGTGTTTAAACGACATCTTTTAAGAGAGCTGTGTTTTGCATTGGTCTCTCTCTAGTCTCACGGGTCTTTCACTCTAGTCTCTCTCTGGTCTCTCACTCTAGTCTCTCTCTGGTCTCTCTCGCTGGTCTCAGTCTCTGGTCTCAGTCTCTGGTCTCTCTCTCTGGTCTCTCTCTCTGGTCTCTCTCTCTGGTCTCTCTATGGTGTCTTCCTCTGATCTCTCTCTCTTCGGTCTTTCTCTCTCGTCTCGCTCTGGTCCCTCTCTGGTCTATCTCTGGTCTTTCTCTGAGCTCTCTCTGGTCTCATTCCGGTCTCTCTCTCTGGTCTCTCTCTGGTCTCTCTCTCTGGTCTCTCTCTGGTCTCTCTTTCATGAGACGATATATTACCACATGTGTATGAATGAATGTAATCAATGAAGTGAAAAGTGTTCTTTGTGTGTGTCTCTCTCTGGTCACTCTCTGGTCTCACTCTCTGGTCTCACTCTCTGGTCTCTCTCTCTGGTCTTTCTCTCGTCTCTCTCTGGTCTCACTCTCTGGTCTCACTCTCTGGTCTTTCTCTAGTCTCTCTCTGGTCTCACTCTCTGGTCTCTCTCTCTGGTCTCACTCTCTGGTCTCTCTCTCTGGTCTCTCTCTCTGGTCTCACTCTCTGGTCTCACTCTCTGGTCTTTCTCTAGTCTCTCTCTGGTCTCACTCTCTGGTCTCACTCTCTGATCTTTCTCTAGTCTCTCTCTGGTCTCACTCTCTGGTCTCTCTCTGGTCTCTCTCTGGTCTCACTCTCTGGTCTCACTCTCTGATCTTTCTCTAGTCTCTCTCTGGTCTCACTCTCTGGTCTCTCTCTCTGGTCTTTCTCTAGTCTCTCTCTGGTCTCACTCTCTGGTCTCTCTCTCTGGTCTCACTCTCTGGTCTCACTCTCTGGTCTTTCTCTAGTCTCTCTCTGGTCTCACTCTCTGGTCTCTCTCTGGTCTCACTCTCTGGTCTCACTCTCTGATCTTTCTCTAGTCTCTCTCTGGTCTCACTCTCTGGTCTCACTCTCTGGTCTCACCCTCTGGTCTCACTCTCTGGTCTCACTCTCTGGTCACTCTCTGGTCTCTCTCTCTAGTCTCACTCTGGTCTCTCTCTGGTTCGTCTCTGGTATCTGCAGTTGTATTGTACGGATTTCACTTATTGCAGGTTATTTTTAGAAGGTAAACCCAGCAACAATTAAGGGACCACTATACTACTACCACTATAGGGCGACAGTAGCTCAGTTGGTAGAGCATTGGCCTTTGGCCCTGAAGGTCGTGGGTTCGAGCCCACCGTAAGACCTACTTCACGACTCCCACTGATGACTGCTGTCGTTGTGTCCTTGGGCAAGACACTTAACCCTACTTTGCCCAAAGCCCCAACTGAAAGATCTCAGCTCCTGTGGACTCACCACCTGCAGGAGGATCAGTGAGGGGCTGGTGCTCTGTGTACTGGGTGCAGCTCTGACTGCCACCCCCCCCGACCCAGAAATGGATTAAGGGGAAGAAAATGGATGGATGGATGGATATACTGTGAGAAATTTGGAATGCATTTATTTCAAAATAAAGTCAAATTTTCTTCAGTTACTTCATAAAAAGCGAAATTAATTTGGAGGTGAATGTGTACTGAACGCTCGAGACATTTTATTATTCTATTATTTAATCAAACTGTTAAAAACCAAAGCCTCCCTTTTTACTACAAACACATGAAGTCATCCTCTGGGCCAAGGACACATTCCACTCCTACCTCCTACCTCCTAGCTCCTACTTCCTCCTTCCTCCTCACTCCTCGCTGCTCTTGCTCCGTGTGTCCTCCGCCGTGGCACAGGCCTCGGTGCGGTTCTAGTCCTTCTGTTAATCAGAGGTGTAATTATGAGAATGGACAGGTCATTAAATTAAAACAGCAGTGCGACACGAGCCGACCCCACTCCACACTCGACCTTTTCTTCTGAATCACTACGAAATATTGCTCCGCTCTCAACAAAGACACAAAGACAATTAAACCTGATGCTCACTTTTTGGTGGAACAGTAACGTAACTTTAGGACATGGTTTGAAATCAAAAGCCAGACTCTTATACGTGCGTGTCCCTTTGAGATTAGATTAGATTAGATTAGAACCAAAACTAACAAAGTCAAGTTGTACATGAGGTGTATATATTTCAGATGGATATATTTGTGTAATGCCAGTACAAAAATAAAATTCTTTCACTCCATATACAGAGTGACACACAGGTGATAAACTACTGTTGTAGCCGCAGTTGCCCTGGGGCACACTGACAGAAGCGAGACAACCATCGGTCCCTCCAACCACCGCCAACCATTCACACGCACATCTTTGAGTGTGTGTATGTGGCCACAAGAGTTTAAATATGCAGGATCCCGTCAGACCTCTGAAGCTAAGCAGAGCAGGACCTGGATAATACTGTGATGGGAGACCTCTGAGAACTGCCTTTGTGTCCTTAGGCAAGACACTTCACCCACATTGCATAAAACACGTGAATTTTTATGGGATTTATTCACAAACAATAATATAAATTGTGCTTTTTTTTTGCTTGAATTTAATTTCTCATGTAAGATTATTTTACTAGTGAATACCTCATAATCTTATTAGAAAAAAAAGTCTGAGCAGTGAGTTTTCAATGCTTGTTTTAATTTTTGTTTCTAATTTCTAGACAAATCAATGTTTTTTAGATAAACTAAATAAGTAAATTAATGTATTCTGTTTATTCTAGAATCAATTCATTTGGAGCTAGTATTTTTTTGTTATTTTCAGTAATCTTGTCAAATCTATTTCACTTACTTGTTTTATTGTTATTTTCAAGGGATTTTTTTCCAGTGTACTAATCTAACTATCATTAACAACGGGCTGCTCTTTGGCTAATTGTAAATGCGCTGCTCTTTTAACCCCGTGGGGAAATGTGTCCTCTGCATTTGACCCATCCTGATGCCATTAGGGCGTCTATCAGCAGCAGTGGTCGCCGTAGTAACAGCGCCGGGGACCCACTTCCAGATTTTGATGCTCAGCTTGGTCAGGACCAGAGCTGGAGGATTTACCTATTGTACATTGTAGAGATAACCAGAGAACTCCACAGACACAGGGAGAACATGCAAACTCCACTAATAAAGGCCCTGTTCCGACCGGGATTCGAACCCAGGACCTTCTTGCTGTGAATACCAATGTAATTTATCCACAGTTAATTCAGCACTTTTCTAAATTGGCCTTTTTTACTATTAACATTATACTCTGATATTTAATTTTAGTAATTTTCAGTCTCCGCAGAATCTGGCTCTGGTCCGTTGAGAGCCGAGGAGGCAGTGAGCAGCGAGTGGTAGACGCATTAAAAGCCGCGAGCTTTAGCGACCATCTGGGAGTAATGTCGTAAAATAAAATCTGTAATAAAACTCAGCCCACTACTGTTGATGTTTACAAACACCTCCGCCAAATCTCCCACAATGCACTGGGCCAGGCCTGGGGTAAACACATAAACTCGTACAGTACAGTGCAGCAGCCAACTTCTGAATAAGGCTGGGACAGAAAACATGGGAATAGCAAAGTCAGCATTAACACGTACTGTATTTTATTTTGTATTTTTGATTTTGAGAATATTTTACGTTGGCATTTCATGATTTATAAAGTGTGATAAAGAGATAGATGTTAAGCTAATTAAGTTAAAGGAGCAGTATGTAAAAATCTGGCCAAAACTGGAACTGACTCAGGTTGCCAGATATGCAGACGAATCCAGCTGGGACCATAAAAACTAAATAAAGAGTTTTGTCAACAACAGATCTATAACCAACACCTTTTTCACAAAGATAGAAATCCTGGTTTTATTTCTTGTTTTGTTTGTTAATAATTTGAGAATCATAACGAGATCTTTTCTAGTTCTGCGGCCACATGATACTTTACCGGTGAGATTAGATCGACAAGGTGAGTTCTGGCGCCCGGATCACAGACTTTCTGATTTGTAAAACGGTGGAGGGCGGGACATCGACATGAAAACAATAACAAGATTTAGAGGCTGGAAAGCTAAGTTTGAAATCCAAATATCTCTGAACTACTGTTTTCAGTTAAAGAAGTATTGGAAAAGAGCACGTTTTATTAATGTATTTTGACAGATTAGGGCCCTTTAATGAGGACTTGACATTAAAATCTCACATATCGCTACTTTAACAGCCAGTTTTTGAGCGGTTAGTCCAAAGTTCAATGCGTGGGTGTTTTCTCTGAATCAGAATTAGAATTATTTTCATTGCCGTTGTAAGTAACAGCGAGCTTTGGTATAAAGTCCAAACTGTCATAGTGGCATATGGAAATGCACAAAGAAAACACAAAAAAGTAACCACGCAGGGACTTTACGACAAGAACAAGGAAACAGGAAGTAAGTAAGTAATATTTATTTATATACCGCTTTTCACAAACCAGAGTCATAAAGCGGTTTACAATTGTGGGCATTTGTCTCCCACTCCACACAGAGACGGGAGCGGGGCCAGTACAGGAGGCGCATGCCAGACCTATTGAACATGTTTTAGTGGTAGAGGAAACCGGAGTACCCAGAAGAAACCTACGCTGACACTGGGAGAACATGCAAACTCCACTCAGAAAGGCCCTGTTCCAACCGGGATTCAAACCCAGGACCTTCTTCCTGATAAGCGAGATTGCTAACCACTCAGCCACCGTGCCGCCCACAAGTACAACTGAAGAAGACACAGGGGGTAACAAAAGACAAAAATAAACAGGAAATAAATCCTAACAATGACACAAACAAGTCATGCTAAATGAAAAGTGAAAGTAACAATTTAAATAACGCAACAAAATGCAGAAAAGGTACAAATTTAAGTTGGAAAATGTAGATGTTCCAAAAGTGTCTAAGGCATGTGTCCAGTACGGTGGTTCTACGGAAAGGTCTTCAGGGTCTGGTGCAAGTTATAAAAGCCGTCCAAATGATTCCCTCAAACTAAAGCAGCTCTACTCTGTGCTCGAGAGACACTTCCTCCAATCATCATCTCTGGATCCCGTCGTCCACTTCAGCCGCCGGACACTCTCCAAATCTGAAAATTGTGATTAGAGGAAATTCTCATCATAAAAATTGAAATTCAGATTTGTGTTCTGATTTCCGGGGCTGATTTGGAGGATCATAAAAAGGGCACATGGAAGAAAAGCACTCGAGATATTTAATTAAATCTTGACTAAGAGATTTGCTTCGGCACAATCATTTATTTATTTAATTTATTCATTTTTTTGGATCCCCAGGAGCTTCTGCAGGTGGTCGCTATAGTCTTGATGGGGTCCACCATTTTTGAGTTGTATTTACATTATTTGGATAATTTAATGTTTTCTGCTGTTATTAATGTTGCCATGTGTGTGTGTGTGTGTGCGTGTGTGGTCACTGTGTATTTCTGTTTTTTCGTTTAAGCATTTTTTTGTTTGCACATTCATTTTTGTCCATCGTACATATATAGACCTGGAAGAATAGCTACTGTATATTTCAGTAGCTAAAACAAACAAACAAGCGATCATGATTTAACACAGGTGGATACTTCTCTGCACTCTGTAGACCAGGTGTCTCCAACCGTCACCCAGAGAGCTACTTTCCCAGGATGATAAAGGCAGAGAGCTACTACTTAAAGCGGCACTTGGAAGAAATTGGTGATATATTGGTGTGAAAGAGACTGGTATTGGGTAAAGTTGTTATTTATCAACGCATATTTGTTACTAATACATAACCTCGCTCCTCCAGACCTCTCTGAACTTCTACAGCCCTACAGTCCCTCCCGTCGACTCCGATCCGCAGACTCACTTCTCCCCACTCCCACTGTCGAACCCAAGCACCGAACCTTGGAGGACCGAGCTTTCTCCACCTCTGCTCCCACTCTCTGGAACTCTCTCCCCCCTCACCTCTGGAACTCTCTCCCCCCTCACCTCTGGAACTCTCTCCCCCTCATCTCTGGAACTCTCTCCCCCCTCACCTCTGGAACTCTCTCCCCCCTCACCTCTGGAACTCTCTCCCCCCCTCATCTCTGGAACTCTCTCTCCCCCCTCACCTCTGGAACTCTCTCCCCCCTCACCTCTGGAACTCTCTCTCCCCCCTCACCTCTGGAACTCTCTCCCCCCTCACCTCTGGAACTCTCTCCCACCTCACCTCTGGAACTCTCTCCCCCCTCACCTCTGGAACTCTCTCCCCCCTCACCTCTGGAACTTTCTCCCCCCCTCACCTCTGGAACTCTCTCCCCCCTCACCTCTGGAACTCTCTCCCCCCTCACCTCTCCCCCTCACCTCTGGAACTCTCTCCCCCTCACCTCTGGAACTCTCTCCCCCCGCACCTCTGGAACTCTCTCCCCCCGCACCTCTGGAACTCTCTCCCCCCTCACCTCTGGAACTCTCTCCCCCCTCACCTCTGGAACTCTCTCCCCCCTCACCTCTGGAACTCTCTCCCCCCGCACCTCTGGAACTCTCTCCCACCCACCTCTGGAACTCTCTCCCCCCTCACCTCTGGAACTCTCTCCCCCCTCACCTCTGGAACTCTCTCCCCCCCTAACCTCTGGAACTCTCTCCCCCCTCACCTCTGGAACTCTCTCCCCCCTCACCTCTGGAACTCTCTCCCCCCTCACCTCTGGAACTCTCTCCCCCCCTCACCTCTGGAACTCTCTCCCCCCTCACCTCTGGAACTCTCTCCCCCCTCACCTCTGGAACTCTCTCCCCCCGCACCTCTGGAACTCTCTCCCCCCGCACCTCTGGAACTCTCTCCCCCCGCACCTCTGGAACTCTCTCCCCCCGCACCTCTGGAACTCTCTCCCCCCTCACCTCTGGAACTCTCTCCCCCTCACCTCTGGAAGTCTCTCCCCCCGCACCTCTGGAACTCTCTCCCCCTGCACCTCTGGAACTCTCTCCCCCCTCACCTCTGGAACTCTCTCCCCCCTCACCTCTGGAACTCTCCCCCCCTCATCTCAGAAACTCGGACTCACTAAACTCCTTCAAAAAACAGCTAAAATCTCACCTCTTCCTCCAAGCATATGACTCTTAGTTTCAGCTTTGGACTCTTCTTTCCTGCTTTTGATTTTTAGTTTTGTGTGTCTGTCTAAACGTGTGTGTGTGTGTATGTGTGGGTCCTGAATTGTGAAGCGTCTTTGAGTTTTTGAAAAGCCCTATATAAAACCGATGTATTATTATTATTATTAATACACAAAGTAAGTGCATTTACAACAATCAACTAATACAATTTGAAACACTAACTTTATTATTTGATGTGTTCCTGTATAAATCCATTGGCGAGCTACAGTATCTGGAAGGGGGTGGCGAGCTACTGGTGGTTGAAGTTGAAACTTTATTTTAAACATATCAATAAAAACCACATAATATATAAAATTGCGAAAAAATCCAGGAACCCAAAATGCATGTTTGAAATATCATATCAGCATAATTCATTTTCAACTGTTTTCAATAATTTCAACTGTTTCCAAATCCATGCATCTTCTTCCCCTTAATCCATTTCTGGGTCGGGGGGTGGCAGTCATTTCTGAGAATCGTCGGTATAAATGTCATACTTTTAAACGTGTCAGAGAAAAAGTACCAGTCTGTTTGTTGTGGTAGAGTTTGTCTGTTTTCAGAGCAGTTCATGTTGTTTTGACTCCATAACATTTTTGTTGGAATAGATTAAAAGTTTATTGTCAAAATAGATAAATGAGTCACAGAAGCAACAGTTGAAGGTGAATAATTAAGTGAAAGTTTGCATCCCCTCCCACCTCTCTCACTCCTCTCCCATTTCTTCCACTCCCTCACCCCTCCCTCTTTCCTCCTGTCTCACCTCTCTCTCCTCTCCCACTCCCCCCCCTCCCTCTACAGTCTTCTCTTATCGCCCCCCATCTCCAACCACCCCCCACTCTCCTGTCTTTTCTTCCCCCTCTCTCTCCCCTCTTCCCCCTTCCCTCTCCTGTCCCTCTTCTCTCTCACCTCTCCCTCCTTTCTCCCCCTCACCTCTGGAACTCCCTCCCCCTCACCTCTCTGGAACTCCCTCACCTCTGGAACTCTCTCACCCCTCACCTCTGGAACTCTCTCACCCCTCACCTCTGGAACTCTCTCACCCCTCACCTCTGGAACTCTCTCCTCCCTCACCTCTGGAACTCTCTCCCCCCTCACCTCTGGAACTCCCTCACCTCTGGAACTCTCTCCCCCCTCACCTCTGGAACTCTCTCACCCCTCACCTCTGGAACTCTCTCCTCCCTCACCTCTGGAACTCTCTCCTCCCTCACCTCTGGAACTCTCTCCTCCCTCACCTCTGGAACTCTCTCCTCCCTCACCTCTGGAACTCTCTCACCCCTCACCTCTGGAACTCTCTCCTTCCTCACCTCTGGAACTCTCTCCCCCCTCACCTCTGGAACTCTCTCCCCCCTCACCTCTGGAACTCTCTCCCCCCTCACCTCCGGAACTCTCTCTCCCTCACCTCTGGAACTCTCTCCCCCCTCACCTCTGGAACTCGGATTCAGTAAATTCCTTCAATAAAACAGCTAAAAACTCACCTCTTCTTCCAACCATATAACACTTGGTTATAGTAAGTCATGTTTATTTATATAGCGCATTTCACAGACCAAGGTACAGACCCAAAGCACTTTCCAATGTTCAGAGTCAGATATTGTTCCAGTCCTTCCACAAACGGTGATGACAGAAGCGAGTCCAGAACACACTGGACCATCAAAGCCTCCGACCAAACACCCTCCATTCACTCACAGACCTATTGTGCATGTTTTTAGAGGTAGGGGAAACCAGAGCACCCGGAGGAAACCTTCACAAACACGGGGAGAACATGCAAACTCTACTCAGAAAGGCCCTGGTCCAACCGGAATCAAACCCAGGACCTTCTTGCTGAGAAGCGAGAGTGCTAACCACTCAGCCACCGTGCCGCCCTTTCTCACACTCTTCTTTCCTGCTTTTAGGTTTTTATTTTTGTGAAACTTTTTGAAAAGCGCTGTATAAAACCGATGTATTATTATTATGACTGTCATTCGTAGTCCCATGGCAGATATCAAAACAGATGAAATACACATACAACAGACACAAACAAACACACATCACGACACAACTAAACCGGGTTTGTAACATGTGGTAAAATAGATAAATTAGCACAGATAAAAGAATTCCATCACAACTGGGTCAAACAAAACGATAACTACATTTTTCACTATGAATCTTCAGTTAACAAACAACTGATTAAGTGTACGGTGGTTTTCCGAGAGAATAGGTTTTTAAAATGAAGTATAACGTGCCATAGTCTAACTAAACCATCGGTTACAAGTTACTGCAACAATGATTAAAAATAAAGTCTGGGGCCACAAAATATATGTTAAAGAATTATTTTTATTGACAAACTAGGAATGTGCTTTGGTATTTGTTAAAAGCAGTCTCTTGTATCGCCCTAAATCTCCACAGACATTGTATCAGAGATAAGATATTTATGGGTCACATTTGGAAAAGATAAAATAACTCAGATTGTGCAGAAAGTCATGAAGTGTGAGACAAGTTTTAAAAATAAATGGTCCCACAGAGAGAGAGACACACACACACACACACAGTGTATTTTCAAAACTCTGGAGTGTGAGATTCTCTGTGGTCCTGGTCCAGTCTCTGTGGTCCAGACCTGATTCTGTGAGAAAACAAACACTTTCAATACAGATGAAGAGCCCCTATTCTTGTCCCACAGCGGGGAAATTCCAGTGTTGCATCGCCGGTTACAGGACATGAATGAGGAGCAAACGCCACAAGATAAAAGAACAAAAACAATTATTTTAGCCGTTTTTTAATAAAAGTTGAATAATCTTTTACCTCTTGATTTTTTTTTAACTCATCAAACTGACAATGAACAAAACAAAACATGGTGCGACAGGATATACCCCGTTCCCATGGAGACGATGGTTCCAGGGTATCCCGTTCCCATGGAGACGATGGTTCCAGGGTAGCCTATGGAGACGATGGTTCCAAGGTATCCCGCTCCCATGGAGACGATGGTTCCAGGGTATCCCGTTCCCATGGAGACGATGGTTCCAGGGTATCCCGTTCCCATGGAGACGATGGTTCCAGGGTATCCCGTTCCCATGGAGACGATGGTTCCAGGGTATCCCGTTCCCATGGAGGCGATGGTTCGAGGATTCTGCAGATTGGGAAAACTCTTTAGATGGGATTTGGGATTTTCTGGGCGTTTTTATATGAAATGGTAAAATATGACTTCAATGATTCACACCAGCGACATTTTATAGACTATGAAAAACAGATGTCTGCATGTGCACACCATTACAGCATCCTGAGGTTGGTCTATGAGACTGGCTGTAATGGTGGAGCTGAAGTTGGCTGGATGATGGTGTGAAAGTATCTCAAGGACTAAGAATAGATATTCCTGTATTTGTGCCACAGTGGGGACGGTTCAGTGTCATTGTTGCACGTTACCGTAGAGAAAGAAGGAAATAAGACTTACATCAGAGTTTATTATTTAAGATCATGGACAAAAGAATAAAAATAATAAAAACTTCTATGTGTTTGTGTAAAAATCTAAATCACAACTTTGTTTAAAAACATAAGATCTGCTCTGGGCCAGAAGTGTAAAAGTGTATTCGACATAAGTTTGGATTATTATTTTTTAGTCGGTAGTAATGGCACCAACTCAGGACCAACTCCGGACCCAAATCTCAGTACCCATCTCGGGACTATCTCTGGAACTAACTCTGGACCAACTCTTCTTGTTGTGAATGAAGTTTCTGTGAACGACTCGTGGCTCATTTCACTTCAGAAAGAGCATCATTTAGAGACTTATCTGAGAGAACAGAGGGAGATAGTGGAGGAGGAGGTGGGGGGAGGGTGACGGGGGGAGAGATGAAGAGGGAGGCAGAGGGAGGGAGGGTGAGGTCAGATATAAGCCCAAACAGCAGCAGCAGACTCAGACTCTGCAACTTCAGGTGAGTGACACTTTTTCTCATTCTTTAAAGTTTAAAGTGAGGCTGGATCTGAAGAGTCTGGTCCCAGACTGAGACCAGAGTCTAGTCTCAGTCTGGGACCATAGTCTGTGTCATTCATTAAAACTCTATCAAACTAAACTGATAAATGCTAAATTATTATCGTTTAAAGTTTATTTTAATGAAGACAAGGTGCAGCAGCTTCAACACAGTCATAAACAGTTCAAATGTTTGTATTTTTATTATTCTTTTTCAATCTTTTCAGACGGCATTAAAACAAATAACATAAAAGCAACTTAATAATATCTGATTTGAAAATCTAAAATCTGATTTATTTGTGTTGGAATGTTCCGCTCCAAAGCTCAGAGTAGAGCTGCTTCTCCACATCGGCCAGAGCCAGTGCAGGTGGCGCGGGCCTCTGTTTGAGACGCCTCCGGACCTGTCCACTGTTTACTCTTTACCGAGTGTTTCTGTTAAAATCCAGACCTAGTTTGGGTCTAGTTTCCAGATCAAAACCTGTTAAAGATTTTCGCGGGAGGAAGTTCTTCATAAAGATCTGAATAGACTAAAATATACGAATCCAAGAATATATGTTTTTATCAATTTACACCACAGATGTAACGGCGCCCTCTGGTGGGAGGAAAGGGAACTCAATCCAATGTGTTTGCGCGTCGCCCTGAACCACAGCAGCAGCAGCAGAACACAGTCTCTGATTCGCCAACAGCAGATCAGAAAACCAAACCCATAGAGACATTGGTCCATAGAGAGAGGAAAGACCACAGTCCTCAGACCCCACAGTCCTCAGACCCCCCACAGTCCTCAGACCCCGAAGGTCCTCAGACCCCCACAGTCCTCAGACCCCGCACAGTCCTCAGACCCCACAGTCCTCAGACCCTTACAGTCCTCAGACCCCACACAGTCCTCAGACCCCGAAGGTCCTCAGACCCCACAGTCCTCAGACCCCGCACAGTCCTCAGACCCCACAGTCCTCAGACCCCGCACAGTCCTCAGACCCCACAGTCCTCAGACCCCCACAGTCCTGGACCATCACAGTCCTCAGACCCCACAGTCCTCAGACCCCACAGTCCTCAGACCCCCACAGTCCTGGACCATCACAGTCCTCAGACCCCACAGTCCTCAGACCCCCACAGTCCTCAGACCCCACAGTCCTGGACCATCACAGTCCTCAGACCATCACAGTCCTCAGACCCTCACAGTCCTCAGACCCCCACAGTCCTCAGACCCCCACAGTCCTCAGACCCCGCACAGTCCTCAGACCCCACAGTCCTGGACCCTCACAGTCCTCAGACCCCACACAGTCCTCAGACCCCGAAGGTCCTCAGACCCCACAGTCCTCAGACCCCGCACAGTCCTCAGACCCCACAGTCCTCAGACCCCCACAGTCCTCAGACCTCCACAGTCCTGGACCATCACAGTCCTCAGACCCCACAGTCCTCAGACCCCCACAGTCCTCAGACCCCACAGTCCTGGACCCCCACAGTCCTCAGACCCCCACAGTCCTCAGACCCCCACAGTCCAGGACCATCACAGTCCTCAGACCCCACAGAGACCATCCATCCAAAAACCCAGTGGTAAAAATAGAGAGACCTCGGGGAGACCCACATGGAGGATCCGCTCCCACAGACCGAGATCCAGGACCGAGGTCTGAGTTTAGACTTTAAAGTCTAAGACTGTTAAAGTCTTGTGATGATGGTCCAGGACTCTACACTCAACCACATTTATGGTCTCTGCTCCTTATGGTCCTCATGGTGTGAATCGTCTCGTGACACATTTTGAGGCTCAGACTGTTTGAAAATGTCCTCAGACCAATGTCCTGTTATTATTATTTATTTATTGTTTATTTGGTTGGGACATAACAAACACACACTCTTTCACCCTGAACTATTGTACATATTTTTAGTGGTAGAGGAAACCGGATCACCCGGAGGAAACCTACGCAGACACGGGGAGAACATGCAAACTCCACTCAGAAAGGCCCTGTTCCGATCGGGATTCAAACCCAGAACCTTCTTGCTGAGAGGCACCGTGCCCGTTCTTTCTATTCCTTCTTTTCCACGTTTTTTAGTTTAGTAGTTTATTTCATGTATTAACCCGTCAAGCGCCGAAGTAACAGAATTTCAACACAAACTCCTAAATCCCGGGCATTCTTCTTCTATGTATTTCTGGTAATGATTCAAGTAGTCCACTGTCTTTCTAGGAAGTTACAGCGTGTCATCTTTTGTCTATTTTACAATAAGTGTTTGACAAATAGAGTTAAGAACCTAAAAAATGATAAATGTTTTGTTTTTTGGGACCAATCTAATGCTTCATATTTGTTCTTTTCCTTCCACAGATTCACAGCAACATGATTTTTTGGGTAATGTGTGTTTTGTCGTGAAATAGAATCAATATTTGCTGAATTTCTAATGTTGTGTTGTGTTTGTGTTTCCATCAGATCTTTGTGCTGGGTCATGTACTGCCCCCTGCTGGTCAGTTCACACTTTAATGAACAATCATATACAAGTTGCGCACAAATTGTAAATGGCCAGATTTAACTAATTTACATCCGTCGTCTCGAGGCGGGTCACACAACAATAATAAAACAAAACACAATATACAACTATACAATTCACACATCATAGGAGTCGCTAATTTATTCAGAGAGAAAAGATAACTGTTGTTAAAATATGTATAAAATGAATGATGTTGTTTTTGTTTTTGTTTTTGTTTTTTTTTATAATCTTGTAAAAGTAAAATGTTATGAACAATTGAGACCACATCTTGATAGAAAACATGTTATTGTTTATGTAAGAAGAGCTCAGAAATAGACTAGAGATACAGTAGAAGCAACTGTTTTGAGAGCGAGTTTTAAAGTTAGGTACCTCAGCTTTAAAACATGGGGGACAGCAGTGGAAATGAATCTTCGAGAATGCAGACAATAGATCAGTGTCTCAGGTTTTGCTTCTTGACTTTCCCCTTTAACCTCGATCCATCGTCAGAAACAGGAAGTGGCAAAAATGTGACCAAAGTGTTGTGATATTTAGGCCACAATATTATTGCGATTCTTAACATATCGTGATACAGTAAATATTGCGATTCGATTCTGCGATACATCACGATTCATGTCTTTCATATTATTCAAAAACATTAAAAAAATTGAGAAAAATAAAACTGATTTATTATGGTCTGTACGATTTGAAAGTATTGCGATATTTGGGATCACAATTCAATATTATCGCGATACAGTAAATATTGCAATTTATCACGATTCAGGTCCTTCATATTACATATAGCTATTACAGAAATGGAGAAAAACAAAACTGATTTATTATGATTTGTACAAGAACTGAAGCAAAAACAATCAAATGACCAGAGAAAACTCAAGAGAAAAACACTAAAGTTAAATATTGAAATATCGTGATACTTTCTCCACTGTATCGATTTCATTTACGTGCTGAAAGCATCGCGATACTGAAAAGAATGTTTTGTGAGAAATGTTGATTTAAAAAATGTTTTTGTTGTTGCAGAAAATTCTCATCAGTTTCCACAGACCTCAGTTTCTCCTGTGGCTCCAGGTAAGAATAATAATAATAATAATAATGATAACAATAATAATAATAATAATAATAATGATAATAATATATACCAGTGTTACCAATGTTAGATTTTCTCTCTTTTAAATAAAAAAAATAAAAAATAAAAAAAATAAAATAAAATAAATACAATAAATACAATAAATACAATAAATAAATAAATAAAATAAAGATTGGTGATGAATGAATGAAAAAGTGTGTGAACCGTGCGATACCAATAACCTTGCCTCCTCGCAGCCTGTTGGACGCAGTGGTACGACCAGGACGACCCCACAGACGGAGGCGACAGCGAGACTCTGCCCAAGCTGAGGGAGGCTTTCCCGGGACAGATCTGTGAGTGGCCCCTATCCCTGGAGGTCCAGACCACAGGGGGCGCTGCAGCAAACACCACCGGAGACGTCTTCTTTAAGTGAGTGTTGTGTAGAAGGACTAGAGGTCGCCACTGGTACTGCAGCCAAACATACACAGGGACTCCACACACTACAAAAAATGATCACGTAATAAATGCTTAAAAGATACAAGAACATTTGAGAAATGTCTCCGATGGAATGAGACAGAAATTGGAACAGAAGTTGAAATGTTCTGTTGGCAAATGTTGTTTTAAGAAAGTCAAAAATATACTCAATTTAAAGTGATTCTCACCCCTGCTCCTCGGAGCTTACATTACTCACATTTCCTGTTCAAATCTTCCTCTAAATGGGCGTAGCCTGGAGGACTGAAGGGGGCGTGAACGAGACCGGGCCGTTTACATTGCTCTGGGCGGGGGGCTGCTGACGTCAGGTCCAACTTCTGTGCCAGTGTTGGTGCCAGATTCAAAATTCAAATGTAGTAATACAGGTCGCCAGCAGATGGCGCCTCACAGACGGTTTTAGGCAGAAAGTTTAACTTTCAACTAATTTGCACCAAAGTGACAAGATAATGACCAGGCTATGTAGACAACACTATTGGACACTCATTTATACCGTTTATCAGCAAAAAAAAGTGAATTTGAGGGTGAGTTGTCCTTTAAAGCAGCAGTGTGTAAAAATGTGGCCAAAAGTGGTACTGCAGCCTCTCCCACTCCCCCTGACTCAGGTTGCCAGATATGCAGACGAATCCAGCTGGGACCATAACAGCTGAATAGACAAGAGTTTTGTCAACAACAAATCTATAACCAACACCTTTTTCACAAGATTAGCTCCACGCGGTGAAAATCGTACACATGGCTACTTTAAGACAAAAACACTTGTAAACATTTTTTGCAGTGCACTAATATTGACAGCTTCTCAGACTTCTTTACTAAACAGACAAAGCTGTTGTTTTTACACAGAATGTCTCAAATTAAGATAAAAACACTTGATTTATTCTTTCAATTCCTCATTTTTGATCAGTTTTTTTCTGTGCAATGTTTGATAATTTATAAATCAATAAAGAGAAATGTCAGTGTTGTATCACAGGAGACACAAACCCTCTCATATGAAGTTGAATGCAAATCCAGTGTTGTGATGCCCCGTTTGTGTGTGTGTGTTGTGCATGTATGCGTGTGTGTGTTGTGCATGTGTGTGTATGTGTGTGTGTGCGTGTGTGTTGTGCATGTGTGTGCGTGTGTGCGTGTGTTTTGTGCATGTGTGTGTGTGTGCGTGCGTGTATGTTGTGTATGTGTGTGTTTGTGCATTTATGTATGTGTGTGTGTGTTGTGCTTGTGTTTGTGTTGTGCATGTATGTATGTGTGTGTGTGTGTATGTATGTATTTTGCATGTGTATGTGTTCTGCATGTATGTGTATTTGTGTGTGTGTGTATTGTGCATATCTGTGTGTGTGTATGTATGTGTGCATGTGTATGTATTGTGCATGTGTGTGTGTGCGCGCGTGTGTGTGCGCGTGTGTGTGCATGTGTGTTGCAGGTCAGACCGTGTCGATGGTTTGGTGTGCAGAAACAAGGACCAGGTGGGACAGTGCTTCTGTCAGGACTACATGGTCCGCTTCCTGTGCCCCTGCTCCAGCCGTGAGTGCTCCTCCACCGCAGACTCTGATGTTAGAGATTTCATTTAATCTGCTCCGGTTTGAAGACTTAAAGTTGCGGTTCCTAACTTTACAACCACAGAAACATGAACAAACCAAACGTAAAAACCTAACTCTAACAACAGTCGGGGCACTAGTTTTCACATTGCCTCGTCACTGCTTTTGTTCAGCTTTTTCAGTCTGACAAGTGACAAAGAGAGGACCACCCTCTCTCAGCCAATCAGCTCTCAGCCTGTGAGTCAATTATTGACTCACAGGGCTCTTTCTTACACAAAAAATAATATCATTTCTAATAATAATAGCGTATTGGTTTTATATATAGCGCTTTTTTGGACTCTTAAAAACACTTCACATGTTATTATTCTTTCATTCCAAACACGGAGGTGATAAACTACCAGTGACCAGAGACCTTTCCATCACAGTTTAGATCATCACAGACACACATCGTCCTCTTGCATGAGGATAGAAGAGTAGGATAATAATAAAAAACAGCCAGAGTGTCCCCAAACCTTTGCTTCTGCTGCAGAAGTAACCATCAACCCATATGTTGTGTTCAGAGAAGGTCAATTCAATCTGAAGAGACCAAGACAGAAACATAAATGCATGAAAAAGAGGAGCAGGAGCCAGAGCAGGAGCCAGGGCAGGAGCCAGAGCAGGAGCCAGAGCAGGAGTCAGAGCAGGAGCCAGAGCAGGAGCAGGAGCCAGAGCAGGAGCCAGAGCAGGAGCCAGGGCAGGAGCCAGAGCAGGAGCCAGGGCAGGAGCCAGAGCAGGAGCAGGAGCCAGAGCAGGAGCCAGAGCAGGAGTCAGGGCAGGAGCCAGAGCAGGAGCCAGGGCAGGAGCCAGAGCAGGAGCAGGAGCCAGAGCAGGAGCCAGAGCAGGAGCCAGAGCGGGGGCCAGGGCAGGAGCCAGAGCAGGAGCCAGAGCAGGAGCCAGGGCAGGAGCCAGGGCAGGAGCCAGGGCAGGAGCCAGAGCAGGAGCAGGAGCAAGAGCCAGAGCAGGAGCCAGAGCAGGAGCCAGAGCAGGAGTCAGAGCAGGAGCCAGAGCAGGAGCCAGAGCAGGAGCCAGAGCAGGAGCCAGAGCAGGAGCCAGGGCAGGAGCCAGAGCAGGAGCCAGGGCAGGAGCCAGAGCAGGAGCAGGAGCCAGAGCAGGAGCCAGAGCAGGAGCCAGGGCAGGAGCCAGAGCAGGAGCCAGGGCAGGAGCCAGAGCAGGAGCAGGAGCCAGAGCAGGAGCCAGAGCAGGAGCCAGAGCAGGAGTCAGAGCAGGAGTCAGAGCAGGAGCCAGGGCAGGAGCCAGAGCAGGAGCCTGAGCAGGAGCCAGAGCAGGAGCCAGAGCAGGAGCCAGAGCAGGAGCCAGGGCAGGAGCCAGAGCAGGAGCCAGAGCAGGAGCCAGGGCAGGAGCCAGAGCAGGAGCCAGAGCAGGAGCCAGGGCAGGAGCCAGAGCAGGAGCCAGAGCAGGAGCAGGAGCCAGAGCAGGAGCCAGAGCAGGAGCCAGAGCAGGAGTCAGAGCAGGAGTCAGAGCAGGAGCCAGAGCAGGAGCCAGAGCAGGAGCCAGAGCAGGAGCCAGAGCAGGAGCCAGAGCAGGAGCCAGGGCAGGAGCCAGAGCAGGAGCCAGAGCAGGAGCCAGAGCAGGAGCCAGCTGTGGCCGGTCTTTCAGTCTGCATTTGCGCTTCAGTTTAATCTGTGACGCAGATGTAGATATAATTTTTAAACATTATTTGTATTGTCCATTGAAGTCTTTTTAGTAACTGTGAACTCTTTTACCTAATCCAACCTGGCACTTTGTTTACTTTTCTGACTAAAAAAGCTGATCTAAACATGTGACAGAGACCAGAAACACATAAGAGAGAAAACCAGAGACAGAGAGTGAGAAAGGGGTGACACAGATTCGATCACACAGATCTATTATTGTGGTTTGAAAGTTGGGTTCCTCAGCTTTAACTTGTGCTTAAAGTTAAAATACTTGGATATAATTGTATTGAGTATTATCTAAACTTGCACCGAGATCAAGACACAAGCCATTGTTCTGCTTTGAAACCTTCTGAAGACTTAACACTGTACTATCCCAAATACATCCCTTAAAAAATAAATTACACTAAGATTGAAAATAGACCATAATTTTCTTTTAAATGGTGATAAATAGTAAATACCTGTGTGTTTTCTGCAGCCTCCTCCCCCTCCCCCTCCCCCTCCCTCTCCCCCTCCCCCTCCCCCTCCCCCTCCCCCTCCCCCTCCCCCCCCCCCCCTCCCCCTCCCCTCCCCATATGCAGATCTACTGAGCCTCGATAAAGACGGTAAGACCTCAGCTCAGAGACGACACTTTTGTCTGGTGTAGAAAAAACAAATAACATGGAGTGTGGGTCTGTGCCTTTATTGTGTTTGACGGTTTTTTCATTTCAGTTTCAGACTTTGAAATCATAGAGACGACACCGAAGCCTCAGACCTGGCACCCCCAAACCTGTGAGAAAAGTCATGTTTTTATGTTTCCTGTCTGGGCTCCCACTTGCTACTGCTACAAGAGTGAAAAGAGTGAATGAATGATCTATAACAAAAAGACTAGGAGCTCAGAGAGAGAGAGACACTTATAAATATTGTTTTTATTTTTTCTGTATTACTTTATTTGAATAGGGACAGTACACGCTAATCTACATGACTGTAAATGTGTCAGTGTTAGCAACGCCGCTAGTTTCCAACTGTACTTTCCAAAACTTTACCCTAAAGGTAAAGTGTAAAAGGCCAACAGAAAAAAATCACTGCAAAAACATTGCAATTTAAAACGGGTTATTAAAGGATCATTGTGTGGCCAAAAGTGGTACTGCTGCAGCCTCTCCCACTCTCCCTGACTCAGGTTGCCAGATATGCAGACGAATCCAGCTGGGACCATAACAGCTGAATAGACAAGAGTTTGGTCAACAACAAATCTATAACCAACACCTTTTTCACAAAGATAGAAATCCTGGTTTTATTCCTTGTTTTGTCCTTAATGATTTGAGAATCATAACGAGACCTTTTTTAGTTCTGTGCCACATGGTACTTTACCACATGGTACTTTACCACATGGTACTTTACCAGTGAGATTAGCTCCACGCGGTGAGTTCTGGCGCCCGGATCACAGACTTTCTGATTGGTGAAACGGTGGAGGGCGGGACATCGAAATGAAAACAATAACAAGATTTAGGGGCTGGAAAAGTAATTTAGAAATTCAAATATCTCTGAACTACTGTCATCAGTTAAAGAAGTATTGGAAAAGAGCAGTTTATTATTATAACAGATTAGGGCCTTATCTTACAGTACTGCTACTTTAAAAAATATGAAAATAAAACGCACTATTATACTACATATCATGAATAGTTACAAGCTTGATTGACCAATGACCACGTTTTAATCGTGTATGGACTGGTCTCGTGTTCCAGAACCGAGGAAGCTGATTGGCTGAAAGCATGTATTGATAACATGCAAAAGTATTGGTTCTAGTATTCTGTGGTTCTAGGTTCTGAAAAGTCTATTTACCTACTGTAAATACATGATTACACTGTGGTCGACTTACTAATGTTCTTTTCTCCTGTGCTGCAGCCTCAGGTGCGGTTCCGGTCTCTTGGAGTTTCCCCACATGGACAAAGAAAACCATCAAGACCATAATCACCAAACCAACACGGCCGTTTGAGACCAGTGAGAGTCACACACAGCACCCAAAAACACACACATTATATACTGTATACAATCAGGATAATGTATATTTGTGTGTGTGTGTGTGTGTGTGTGTATCTGCATGTTTGTATGTGTATGTATGTGTGTGTGTACGTGCGCGCTCTCTCTGATTTCAGCCAAGACTTTTCCCACCAGATCTACACGAGCCACGAGACCGACCAGACTCACAAGGCCTGTCAAAACATGTGAGAAAACGTACATCTGTTTGATATTCTGAAAAAGTATTTTGTTTTGAAGTTGATCCTTGACAAGTCTCAGCTTTTATCTTGATTTTTGTTCTGCTTATTTCATACATGTTTTTTTTCGTCACCTCAGCCTGTGTTTCCCGACCTTTTTTATGCCACGATCAGTGAGGAATCCAATGCAAACTGCAGTTCATTACGCAAGAGTTAAATTAACAAGAAGTCGAGCGATTCTACGGTTTAAACTCACAAAGCAGAGTCTAGAACAAAACTTTTTACCGCACAGCTCCGAGGGTTAAATCCACTGTCACCACGGTTACAAAACAAGTTAGTTTTAAAGATCAATCAATCAATCAATGTTTATTTGTAGAACACCTTTCCTAGACACGGCAACACAAAGCGCCTCACAACCCACATCATATCCAGCAAATCAAAAGCATTAAAATCTACATATACATAAAAAACACAAGAAGTATAAAAAAAACAGGAGCGACAGTGGCTCAGTTGGTAGAGCATTGGCCTTTGGGCCTGAAGGTTGTGGGTTCAATCCCACCGTAAGACCTACTTCATGACTCCCTCTGATGACGGCTGTCGTTGTGTCCTTGGGCAAGACACTTAACCCCACTTTGCCTGAAGCCCCCACTGAAAGATCTCAGCTCCTGTGGCCTCACCACCTGCAGGAGGATCAGTGAGGGGCTGGTGCTCTGTGGACTGGGTGCAACTCTGACTGCCACCCCCCCCCCCCCCCCCCCCCGACCCAGAAATGGATTAAGGGGAAGAAGATGGATGGATGGATGGATATTAAAAACAGAATAAAATCACAAGTAATTAAAAACCTTAAAACATTAAAAACACACACAGGATTAAAATAATAAATAACCACAATGCACTAAAAAGAGTAAATCTAAAACATAAAATCCCTCAGTTGTCTGCAGCTAAACGAACTGTTTTTAACCTGGATTTGAAACCTGCGAGAGTGGATGCCTGCCTCACATCTTCAGGAAGATTGTTCGCGATTTAAGCTGCATTAATCTGGAACGCTGCCTCCCCATGTTTAGTTCTGACTCTTGGAACGAGCAAGAGGCTACCTCCTGTGCTCCTCAGAGTCCGGGCCGGTTCATCTGGTACTAACATGTCACTAAAAGATAATGAATCACCATCACATTTGTAGTTTGAAAGTATGGTTCCCCATCTTCAATGTTTGTATTTTCTACCCCATCAAGTTTAGTAGCTGTAGGACACAAAATAGATGAAGGTGAAAAAATGTAGGGGGTGTGGCTTATAACCAAATGTGCAGAAAGTACTCCTGGAGCATAGTCCGCCAATAAGAGATCTCCAAGCGCCTCGATCTTCCTGCTCCAGCCGGCTCCTCGTGGATCCCATCCTCTTGGTGTCTGTCTACAGGTCTCGGCGGTACATGTTTCTGGGCCGTTCTGTTTCTTTTGCCTTTGGGGGTTCCAGATCAGCGCTCGTCTGTAGTGATGTTGGAGAGGGGCTTGCGGAGCGTGTGGCCGATCCATTTCCAGCAGTGTCTCTGCAGAGAGTGGGGTGGTTTTCTGCCATAAGTCCTGGTCTCTGATTGGGTTTGTCCAGCGGATTTGAAGAATCTTTCGCAGACATGAATTTATGAATGTCTGTACTTCCTTTGTCGTTGTCAAGGTGGTCCTCCAGGTTTCTGCTCCGTAGAGTAGAACTGACTTGACAGTGGAGAAGAACCAGGAAGTACGACCATATTAGTCCGGTCCTCAGGTCTCTGCACTGGCTTCCTGTGGCTCAGAGAATAGACTTTAAAACAGCTCTGCTTGTTACAAGTCTCTCCATGGCCTCGCACCAAAATATATTAGTGACATGTTAGTCCCATATGAACCAGCCCGGACTCTGAGGAGCACAGGGACTGGACTCCTGCTGGGACCCTGAGGAGAACAGGGACTGGACTCCTGTTAGTGCCCAGAGTCAGGACTAAACATGGGGAAGCTGCTTTTCAGATTCATGCTGTCTTCAGTCTTCCTGAAGATGTGAGACAGGCCTCCTCTCTGACAATGTTTAAAACCAGGTTAAAAACAGTTCTGTTTAGCTGTGCATACAACTGAGGGATTTTATCTTTTTTATTTTATCTTTTTTTTAATGTACTCTGATTATTTATGATTTTAATTCTATATTTTTCTTTGTTCAGCACTTTGAGTTGCCTTGTGTATGAATCGTGCTATACAAATAACCTTGCCTTGCCTTGCCTAGAACAGGTTCAGTTGAATCTAAGAGGGTAGATAGTCAGATCTCAGACTGATTGTCTCAGTATTAATGGCTTATGGCTTTGTGGTTGTGTTGGGACAACGGTAGCTCAGTTGGTAGAGCATTGAGCTTTGAGCCAGAAGGTTGTGGGTTTGAGCCCACCACAAGACTTTCTCCACCGACTCCCACTGATGTCTTCTGTCGGTGTGTCCTTGGGCAAGACACTTAACCTCTAGGAACAGCAGGTGCCACAGTGGGGGGGCTGTAAAGTGCCAAACTGCCGCAAGACACTTCACCCCCATTGCCTAGAATGAGTCTGGTGTGTGTGTGAGTGGTTGGTGGTGGTGGGAGGGACCTATGGCACAGACTGGTTGCCTCGCTTCTGTCAGTGTGCCCAAGGGCAGCTGTGGCTTCAGTAGTAGTTTGGAGTGAATGAATAATGACACATGTATAGCGTCTTTGAGTGTCCAAAAAAGTGCTATATAAAACCGATGCATTATTATTATCATTATTATTTCCCACAATGTGAATAATTAAAAGTCCACTAAACCTCTCTCTCTCCTTTCAGCCGTAAAGTCTTCTGTGAGACCAACTCGCCCCAGCTGGCCCTTTTATACACGTGAGAAAGGTTTATAAAAGGTTTATAAATGGCTCACTCCACAACAAACTGTATAAATGTGTTACATTTTGGTCAATGACTCAAAAAAGTCCCGAAATGTCCGCGGCCGTTAACCCTGAATGTTCACAGACTCTTGTTTTGTCCCCAGATGTTTGTCCAGTGGAGGGCGCTCTACTTAAACACAGATTTGTTCACGCCCATATTATTAACAGCTCCAAGATGCCGTTTTGGATGTGCATCCATTTTTCCTGAAATAGTTTTAGCTGCTCTTCTGAGATTATCCTTTATGTATATCTATAAACTACATAGTATTAAAAAATATTTAGGTACAAATATTTTTAGTTCATACATTTATTTTATTGTCACTTGAAGTTAGATCGAGCAGTTTAGTGTGGAGTGAGCCTTATATTTACTTTTTTGTTTTATTTTACTCTTCCCTCATGGACCAGAGAGAGACGAGAGAGACGAGAGAGACGAGAGAGAGACAAGAGAGAGACGAGAGAGAGACGAGAGAGACGAGAGAGACGAGAGAGAGACCGGAGAGAGACCGGAGAGAGACCGGAGAGAGACCGGAGAGAGACGAGAGAGAGACGAGAGAGAGGCGAGAGAGAGACGAGAGAGAGACGAGAGAGAGACGAGAGAGAGACGAGAGAGAGACGAGAGAGAGACGAGAGAGAGACCAGAGAGAGACCAGAGAGAGACCAGAGAGAGACCAGAGAGAGACCAGAGAGAGACCAGAGAGACGAGAGAGAGAGAGACCGGAGAGAGAGAGACCAGAGAGAGAGAGACCAGAGAGAGAGAGACCAGAGAGAGAGAGACCAGAGAGAGAGAGACCAGAGAGAGAGAGACCAGAGAGAGAGAGACCAGAGAGAGAGAGACCAGAGAGAGACCAGAGAGAGACCAGAGAGAGACCAGAGAGAGAGACCAGAGAGAGACCAGAGAGAGACCAGAGAGAGACCAGAGAGAGACCAGAGAGAGACCAGAGAGAGACCAGAGAGAGAACCTTAACATGTTTGCACACTTCTGTCTTTTCTTTCAGCCAAACAAACATATGCTGTGTATTCATTTCCCACTCGGACTCTTCCTTCATGGATCGACCAGTCTACTGCTCCTGCAACCATCAAGACCAGACCCACCTTCTTCACACCAGCAACACGTACCACCAGGACCTATGAGACCAGTTGGAAACCAGTAACACACCTCACCAGACCATTTGAGACCAGTGAGTAACCATTCCTCTTTATCCTTCTCCCTTTGTCTCTTTGACAAAACCATAAAACATTTTGCTGTGAATGATTCAAAAAAATGTTTGCCTTTCATTTCAGCTTTAAAAGCTTTTCCCACAAAGATTTGGCTGACCAGACCCAGCAGACCCAGCAGACCCACCAGACCCAGCAGACCCAGCAGGACCACCAGGACCACCAGACCCACCAGGACCATCAAAACCAGTGAGACATGAACGATATACTGTATGTACAATAATAGACCAGAGAGAGACCAGAGCGAGAGAGCCCAGAGAAAGTCCAGAGAGAGAGGGACCAGAGAGACTCCAGAGCGAGAGAGACCAGAGAGAGTCCAGAGAGAGAGACCAGAGAGAGACCAGAGAGAGGCCAGAGCAAGAGAGACCAGAGAGAGTCCAGAGAGAGAGACCAGAGAGAGACCAGAGAGAGACCAGAGAGAGACCAGAGAGAGACCAGAGAGAGACCAGAGAGAGAGAGAGACCAGAAAGAGACCAGAGAGAGAGAGACCAGAGAGAGTCCAGAGCAAGAGAGACCAGAGAGAGTCCAGAGAGAGAGGGACCAGAGAGACTCCAGAGCGAGAGAGACCAGAGAGAGTCCAGAGAGAGAGACCAGAGAGAGACCAGAGAGAGGCCAGAGCAAGAGAGACCAGAGCAAGAGAGACCAGAGAGAGTCCAGAGAGAGAGACCAGAGAGAGACCAGAGAGAGAGAGAGAGAGACCAGAGAGAGACCAGAGAGAGAGAGACCAGAGAGAGACCAGAGAGAGAGAGAGACCAGAAAGAGACCAGAGAGAGACCAGAGAGAGAGAGACCAGAGAAAGTCCAGAGAGAGAGAGACCAGAGAGAGTCCAGAGCAAGAGAGACCAGAGAGAGTCCAGAGAGAGAGACCAGAGAGAGACCAGAGAGAGACCAGAGAGAGAGACCAGAGAGAGACCAGAGAGAGACCAGAGAGAGACCAGAGAGAGACCAGAGAGAGACCAGAGAGAGACCAGAGAGAGACCAGAGAGAGACCAGAGAGAGACCAGAGAGAGACCAGAGAGAGAGAGAGACCAGAAAGAGACCAGAGAGAGAGAGACCAGAAAGAGACCAGAGAGAGACCAGAGAGAGACCAGAGAGAGACCAGAGAGAGACCAGAGAGAGACCAGAGAGAGACCAGAGAGAGACCAGGTGAACCGTGGGTTACACTGATCGACCAAAATGCAGGATAAGTTTTAGTTATTTTTTTTCCTCTTTTCTTTTCAGCCAAACATCAGTCTCCGGTGACGTGGACTTTTCTCTCAGAGGAATCAGAGGAATCAGAGGAATCAGAAGAGAATCTGTACGAACCCAGCTCTGAACCTTCCATCTTCATCACCAAAAAAAAGACCAGACCTACCATCGTCACCAAACCAGCAGCACTCACCAGGTCCTACGACAGCGGTGAGACACACGACTTATACAGGGGTAGAGCAAGGTCAGACAGAGGTACACATGGTTTCAAGCTCTGGACCATAGACCAGAGAGAAAAGGAGAGACCAGAGAGAGACCAAAGCGGGACCAGAGAGGGAGAAAGAGAGAGACCAGAGAGGGACCAGAGAGGGACCAGAGAGGGACCAGAGAGGGACCAGAGAGGGACCAGAGAGGGACCAGAGAGGGACCAGAGAGAGACCAGAGAGAGACCAGAGAGAGACCAGAGAGAGACCAGAGAGAGACCAGAGAGAGACCAGAGAGAGACCAGAGAGAGAGAGAGACCATTGAGAGAGAGAGAGAAAGAGAGAGACCGATATCTATTCTCGAAGTTTCAACGCCTTCAAACTCTCGCACCATAGACTTTTTACGTTTTAAAGCTGGGGTACCTGACTTTCAAACAAACTAGAGAAGTTTACTCCGGCAAATTAAGGTAAACAAATCTGTTTTCATCTCATTTCAGACATAAAGACTCTTCCAACAGAGAGACCGCTGCAGGCCACTGTGGGCTCTGATCACGGTAAAAACACAATCAAAAAAATTATTGTACCTAAAGCTGGGGTACCTGACTTTTTCTCCTCAATAATACATCGGCTGTCACAAACAAAACAAAACGTCAGAACACAAAAGTATGTCTTCATCTGGTCCGTTTTTTGGTGCAAGCTTTTGTACAAATGGATCGTATATTTTTTGGTTTTGAATTGAAAAATGACCATAGTTTTTTTCCTCTTGATCCACTTTCAGTCCTGAACATCTTCCGCACTCTTCCTGAATGGATCCAGACCCCGCCTGAACCCACGGCGGACTCTCCAACCTTCTCCACTCCTGAACCCGAGACCAGACCCACCTTCGTCCCAAGACCAACGTTTCCAACTCTGGGCACCAGGCCCCACGACTCCGGTGAGAAGTTTTCTTTGTCAATACTGATCTCTTCAGAGAGAGACCAGAGAGAGACCAGAGAGAGACCAGAGAGAGACAAGAGAGAGACTAGAGAGTGACCAGAGAGGGAGAAGGAGAGAGACCAGAGAGAGACCAGAGAGAGACCAGAAAGAGAGACCAGGGAGAGAGACCAGGAGAGAGACCAGGAGAGAGCCAGGGAGAGAGACCAGACAGAGACCAGAGAGACCAGAGAGAAACCAAAGAGACAGAGAGACCAGAGGGAGACAGATTTAATTCAGTCCAGTTTTAGACCTTCTGTAGTTGCTTTAGTCTAGAGAGAGACACCAGAAAGAGAGGGAGAGTCCAGAGAGAGACCAGAGAGAGAGACCAGAGGGAGAGTCCAGAGAGAGACCAGAGAGAGAGACCAGAGAGAGAGACCAGAGAGAGAGACCAGAGAGAGAGACCAGAGAGAGAGACCAGAGAGAGAGACCAGAGAGAGAGACCAGAGAGAGACAGAGAAGAGAGAGAGACCAGAGAGAGACCAGAGAGAGACCAGAGAGAGACCAGAGAGAGACCAGAGAGAGACCAGAGAGAGACCAGAGAGAGACCAGAGAGACCAGAGAGAGACCAGAGAGAGACCAGAGAGGACAGAGAAGGAGAGAGACCAGAGAGAGACCAGAGAGAGAGACCAGAGAGAGAGACCAGAAAGAGAGACCAGAGAGAGAGACCAGAGAGAGAGACCAGAGAGAGAGACCAGAGAGAGACCAGAGAGAGAGGGAGAGACCAGTGAGTGACCAGAAAGAGAGAGACCAGAGAGAAACCAAAGCGACAGAGAGACCAGAGGGAGACCAGAGGGAGACCAGAGGGAGACCAGAGGGAGACCAGAGAGAGACCAGAGAGAGACCAGAGAGAGACCAGAGGGAGACCAGAGAGAGACCAGAGAGAGACCAGAGAGAGACCAGAGAGAGACCAGAGAGAGACCAGAGAGAGACCAGAGAGAGACCAGAGAGAGACCAGAGAGAGACCAGAGAGAGACCAGAGAGAGACCAGAGAGAGACCAGAGAGAGACCAGAGAGAGACCAGAGAGAGACCAGAGAGAGAGACCAAAGAGACAGAGAGACCAGAGGGAGACAGATTTAATTCAGTCCAGTTTTAGACCTTCTGTAGTTGCTTTAGTCTAGAGAGAGACACCAGAAAGAGAGGGAGAGTCCAGAGAGAGACCAGAGAGAGAGACCAGAGAGAGAGACCAGAGGGAGACCAGAGAGAGAGACCAGAGAGAGAGACCAGAGAGAGAGACCAGAGAGAGAGACCAGAGAGAGAGACCAGAGAGGGAGACCAGAGAGAGACCAGAGAGAGAGGAGAGAGAGAGGAGAGAGAGAGCAGAGAGAGAGCAGAGAGAGAGCAGAGAGACACCAGAGAGACACCAGAGAGAGAGACCAGAGAGAGAGACCAGGAGAGAGACCAGGGAGAGAGACCAGAGAGAGAGACCAGAGAGAGAGACCAGAGAGAGACCAGAGAGAGAGGGAGAGACCAGTGAGTGACCAGAAAGAGAGAGACCAGAGAGAAACCAAAGCGACAGAGAGACCAGAGGGAGACCAGAGGGAGACCAGAGGGAGACCAGAGGGAGACCAGAGGGAGACCAGAGGGAGACCAGAGGGAGACCAGAGAGAGACCAGAGAGAGACCAGAGAGAGACCAGAGAGAGACCAGAGACCAGAGAGAGACCAGAGAGAGACCAGAGAGAGACCAGAGAGAGACCAGAGAGAGACCAGAGAGAGACCAGAGAGAGACCAGAGAGAGACCAGAGAGAGACCAGAGAGAGACCAGAGAGAGAGAGAGAGAGACCAGAGAGAGACCAGAGAGAGACCAGAGAGAGACCAGAGAGAGAGAGAGACCATTGAGAGAGAGAGAGAAAGAGAGAGACCGATATCTATTCTCGAAGTTTCAACGCCTTCAAACTCTCGCACCATAGACTTTTTACGTTTTAAAGCTGGGGTACCTGACTTTCAAACAAACTAGAGAAGTTTACTCCGGCAAATTAAGGTAAACAAATCTGTTTTCATCTCATTTCAGACATAAAGACTCTTCCAACAGAGAGACCGCTGCAGGCCACTGTGGGCTCTGATCACGGTAAAAACACAATCAAAAAAATTATTGTACCTAAAGCTGGGGTACCTGACTTTTTCTCCTCAATAATACATCGGCTGTCACAAACAAAACAAAACGTCAGAACACAAAAGTATGTCTTCATCTGGTCCGTTTTTTGGTGCAAGCTTTTGTACAAATGGATCGTATATTTTTTGGTTTTGAATTGAAAAATGACCATAGTTTTTTTCCTCTTGATCCACTTTCAGTCCTGAACATCTTCCGCACTCTTCCTGAATGGATCCAGACCCCGCCTGAACCCACGGCGGACTCTCCAACCTTCTCCACTCCTGAACCCGAGACCAGACCCACCTTCGTCCCAAGACCAACGTTTCCAACTCTGGGCACCAGGCCCCACGACTCCGGTGAGAAGTTTTCTTTGTCAATACTGATCTCTTCAGAGAGAGACCAGAGAGAGACCAGAGAGAGACCAGAGAGAGACAAGAGAGAGACTAGAGAGAGACCAGAGAGGGAGAAGGAGAGAGACCAGAGAGAGACCAGAGAGAGACCAGAAAGAGAGACCAGGGAGAGAGACCAGGAGAGAGACCAGGAGAGAGACCAGGGAGAGAGACCAGACAGAGACCAGAGAGACCAGAGAGAAACCAAAGAGACAGAGAGACCAGAGGGAGACAGATTTAATTCAGTCCAGTTTTAGACCTTCTGTAGTTGCTTTAGTCTAGAGAGAGACACCAGAAAGAGAGGGAGAGTCCAGAGAGAGACCAGAGAGAGAGACCAGAGAGAGAGACCAGAGGGAGAGTCCAGAGAGAGACCAGAGAGAGAGACCAGAGAGAGAGACCAGAGAGAGAGACCAGAGAGAGAGACCAGAGAGAGAGACCAGAGAGAGAGACCAGAGAGAGAGACCAGAGAGAGACCAGAGAGAGAGACCAGAGAGAGAGACCAGAGAGAGAGACCAGAGAGGGAGACCAGAGATAGACCAGAGATAGACCAGAGAGAGACCAGAGAGAGACCAGAGAGGGAGAGAGACCAGAGAGAGACCAGAGAGAGATCAGAAAGAGAGACCAGAAAGAGAGACCAGAAAGAGAGACCAGGGAGAGAGACCAGGGAGAGAGACCAGAGAGAGAGACCAGAGAGAGAGACCAGAGAGAGACCAGAGAGGGAGAAGGAGAGAGACCAGAGAGAGACCAGAGAGAGACCAGAAAGAGAGACCAGGGAGAGAGACCAGGAGAGAGACCAGGAGAGAGACCAGGGAGAGAGACCAGACAGAGACCAGAGAGACCAGAGAGAGACCAAAGAGACAGAGAGACCAGAGGGAGACAGATTTAATTCAGTCCAGTTTTAGACCTTCTGTAGTTGCTTTAGTCTAGAGAGAGACACCAGAAAGAGAGGGAGAGCCAGAGAGAGACCAGAGAGAGAGAGACCAGAGAGAGACCAGAGGAGAGCCAGAGAGAGACCAGAGAGAGAGACCAAGAGACAGAGAGACCAGAGAGAGAGACCAGAGAGAGAGACCAGAGAGAGAGACCAGAGAGAGAGACCAGAGAGAGAGACCAGAGAGAGAGACCAGAGAGAGAGAGAGAGACCAGAGAGAGAGACCAGAGAGAGAGACCAGAGAGAGAGGACCAGAGAGAGAGACCAGAGAGAGAGACCAGAGAGAGAGACCAGAGAGAGAGACCAGAGAGAGACCAGAGAGAGACCAGAGAGGAGAGAGAGAGAGAGAGAGAGAGAGAGAGAGAGAGAGAGAGAGCAGAGAGACCAGACCAGAGAGACCAGAGAGAGAGACCAGGGAGAGAGACCAGGGAGAGAGACCAGAGAGAGAGACCAGAGAGAGAGACCAGAGAGAGACCAGAGAGAGAGGGAGAGACCAGTGAGTGACCAGAAAGAGAGAGACCAGAGAGAAACCAAAGCGACAGAGAGACCAGAGGGAGACCAGAGGGAGACCAGAGGGAGACCAGAGGGAGACCAGAGAGAGACCAGAGAGAGACCAGAGAGAGACCAGAGAGAGACCAGAGAGAGACCAGAGAGAGACCAGAGAGAGACCAGAGAGAGACCAGAGAGAGACCAGAGAGAGAGACCAAGAGGGAGAGGTTCGCGTGTCTCCACTGCTTTCCTCCTCCGTGGGCTGATCCGCGGGGCCCCTCCGCGGGGCCCTCTGCAGGTTCTGTGCTGCTCGTTCCTCGTGGTCTGCTGCCGCGCGCAGACGGTCTGGCGGTGCCGTGCGTGTCCCTGCCTCGATTGGCGGTGCCGCGTTGTCCCGTTGCTTTCCCAAGTCTCCTGGCATGTGAGTACAGTGAGTGTGCCGACCGCGGACAGATTAATCCCGGAGTCTAGGCTGCAGGCGGCTGGTTTTTGCCCTACGCACTTGACTGCAGGCTCCGTTTTACACGTGTTTGAGCTAACTGAGGGGCAATGCATATTAAATGGCATCAATCTCTATTGTCTGAGGGATATAAGAGGAGCAATGTGCATAATTCAGATTCATGTTCTTCCACTTGCAGTAAAACCACGTTGGAAATATGTGCAAAGACTACCCATTGTGCTCCAGACGGCACACACCAGAACTCTTGCCACGGCGCCATCTTTACAGCATTAATCTCATTACTCGCAGGTCACTATTGTTAAATGGATGTATTTAAATTCGTCTATCTGCAGGAGGAAGGAGGGGCCATGCATTTAAATAGCTAGGTCACTGGTATTCAATTAGGTAACTAAACTGCAGTTGTTGCATTTTGAAAGTGCAGCAGAAAGAAAAAGGGCCCAATGTGAATCTGCAATGGGTTTGAAGTGGAGTTGGAGCTAATGAACGCGTGGAAAAGTGATCGTTCATGCGTTCTACCATAACCAAAGCAGCAAGATGGCTCCAGGGGACGTCTGTCATTCGCATGGGAATGTTTCGGATTCGGGTTGATTTATTTCCTCAGGCTCTTAAACAACCATGTTTAACCATGTTTAACCATGTCTGCTGCGGTCCCTGCTGCCGTTCCTACTGATGCCTGATCCCGCTGCTGCCTGTTCCTGCTGCCGCTCCTGCTGCTGCCTGTCCCTGCTGCCTGCTCCTGCTGCTCCTACTACTACATGTGCCGCTGCTGCTGTTCCTGCCGCTGCCGCTCCGCAGGCTCCCAGGCTGCACCTGTCTCTACGGCTCGGCTCTTTCAGACACGTATGTAACCTGGCTCACGGAGACAAGCGGCGCACACTGGCGTGACACGTCTGTTGTTCGTATGAATCGCATTGTGGTGCTACTGCTCCTGCTAATGCTGCTTCTGCTGCTTCATACTGCTACCGCTGCTGCTGCTACTGCTGCCGCTGCTGCTTCATACTGCTACTGCTGCCGTGCTGCTGCTGCTTCTTTTACTTTGACACCTCTCTTCACTTCGCATCTCTTTTACTGAAACACTAAACAGCTTCAACAATATTCTACTGCTGTGGCTTTGATACAGAATTATTGCTGTTATTATCTACGGATGCTGCAACCGCTGCTGCTGCTGCTGCTGCTTCATACTGCTGCTACTGCTGCTGCTTCACACTGCTACTGCTGCTCCTGCTAATGCTGCTTCTGCTGCTTCATGCTGCTACCGTTACTGCTGCTACTGCTGCCGCTGCATACTGCATCTGCTGCCGTGCTGCTGCTGCTTCATGTACTTTGACACCTCTCTTCACTTCGCATCTCTTTTACTGAAACACTAAACAGCTACAACAATATTCTACTGCTCTGGCTTTGATACAGGATTATTGCTGTTATTATCTACGGATGCTGCATCTGCTGCTGCTGCTGCTGCTGCTGCTGCTGCTGCTTCATACTGCTACTGCTGCTGCTTCATACTGCTACTGCTACTGCTGCTGCTTCATACGGCTACTGCTGCTACTACTGCTGCTGCTGCTTCATTTACTTTGCCATCTCTCTTCACTTGCATCTCTTTTACTGAAACACTGAACAGCTACAACAACATTCTACTGCTGTGGCTTAGATACAGAATTATTACTGTTATTTCTAAGGACGCTGCTGCTGCTGCTGCTACTGCTGCTGCCGCGGCTTGATACAGGACTATTGCTGTTATTATCTGAGGTTACTGCTGCTGCTGCTACTGCTACTGCTGCAACCCACTCTCTCAGAAGCTTATCCTGCTTCTAATGGATGCAGCCCGGCTGAGTATGCCGCGCTGCGCTGGACTCGCACCTATGCTCCCAGGGTCGCTTCGGCGGTCATGCTTCATCTCTCCACCTAATCTTCTGATCTATCAGATGCAGCTGGCCAAGTAGCTGCGCTGAGCCGTCAATCGGACTCCTAATCAAAGGCATCCATACCTGTATTCTTCACTCTTCTGATCGCAGGCTCCCCATCACGCTGCCCATCCTGCAGCGGCGCTGAACTCCGGCTCATCTTCCAGGTACATGTCTGCCCTCCTCGCGGCATCTTCCTGCTCTCCTTCCGTGGCTTCTCTGCATAAGCGTCTCACCATTGCTCACTCAACCTTCATGCGGTCCGAGACACGGCTTTCCCGACCATCCTACTATCCTGATTATCTACTCTCCAACCCAAGATTCTAAGCGTAAGGGTGCCTGCATCATCAATGGCCCTCTCCGATATGTCTCTGCCCCTACAGGTCTCCGCTTCTACACGGACGCTGCCCCTTCCGTGGGTTTTGGGGGATTCTTCCAGGACCATTGGTTTGCCGAGCGTGGCCGCTACTTTCCACCGGAGCATCTCCTCTGCCCTACACGTGATATTCCCAGTGGTCGTGGCCTGCGCGCTGTGGAATCACACGTGGCAGAGAAAGAGGATCTCTGTCATGTGTGATAATCTCGACGTAGTGGAAGCATTACACAAAGGTCGCTCTTTTTCACCCAACATAATGTCCCCTGACCATTTCAACCTCCGTCTCAAACATTCAAAAATCAAAGGAGCCTGCAATATAGTAATAGCTCGCTCGGACACATCTCTCTGCCCCTACAGGTCCATGATGCGTTACACTCGCCTCCGCTGAAAAAAGGAGATTTTAACGGACCTCTCTTTCTCACTCCAGACATTCTTCCCATGACAGCAACCTGGTTCACAGCTCAGCTAAGATCCCTACTGCTCCTCTGTAAATTGTCTCCCCAGCTCTATACAGCTCACTCCTTCAGGATAGGCGCCGCCACGCGCGCGGCCTCGCTGGGGCTCCCCCACACCTCTCTGCAACAGCTGGGGCGCTGGTCCTTTTCGGCTTTCTCCGCCTACATCAGGCCAGACGCGTCCACTATCCTGGCTGCACAACGGCTACTGGCTTCCTCGTAAGCTCCCAGCAAAGCAATACAAAGCAAAGTAAGTGAACCAATAAGATTCTGGTGGCGGCACGCGCTTCTTCAAAGATAACCCTGTTGCAGCGTCCGGTTGATCGTGATGCGAGCGCTCACGTCCCGGCGCTCAAAGATAACTCTGCTACAGCGTCTGGTATCGATCGTGATGCGAGCGCTCACGTCCCAGGCAGCGTCCGGTTGATCGTGATGCGAGCGCTCACGTCCCAGCGCTTAAAGATACTCCACCGCAGCGTCTGGTACCGATCGTGATGCGAGCGCTCACGTCCCAGGCAGCGTCCGGTTGATCGTGATGCGAGCGCTCACATCCCGGCGCTCAAAGATAACTCTGCTACAGCGTCTGGTATCGATCGTGATGCGAGCGCTCACGTCCCAGGCAGCGTCCGGTTGATCGTGATGCGAGCGCTCACATCCCGGCGCTCAAAGATAACTCTGCTACAGCGTCTGGTATCGATCGTGATGCGAGCGCTCACGTCCCAGGCAGCGTCCGGTTGATCGTGATGCGAGCTCTCACATCCCGGCGCTCAAAGATAACTCTGCTACAGCGTCTGGTATCGATCGTGAAGCGTCCGGTTGATCGTGAAGCGAGCGCTCACGTCCCAGGCAGCGTCCGGTTGATCGTGATGCGAGCGCTCACATCCCGGCGCTCAAAGATAACTCTGCTACAGCGTCTGGTATCGATCGTGATGCGAGCGCTCACGTCCCAGACAGCGTCCGGTTGAGCGTGATGCGAGCGCTCACATCCCGGCGCTCAAAGATAACTCTGCTACAGCGTCTGGTATCGATCGTGATGCGAGCGCTCACGTCCCAGGCAGCGTCCGGTTGATCGTGATGCGAGCGCTCACGTCCCAGCGCTTAAAGATACTCCACCGCAGCGTCTGGTACCGATCGTGATGCGAGCGCTCACGTCCCAGGCAGCGTCCGGTTGATCGTGATGCGAGCGCTCACATCCCGGCGCTCAAAGATAACTCTGCTACAGCGTCTGGTATCGATCGTGATGCGAGCGCTCACGTCCCAGGCAGCGTCCGGTTGATCGTGATGCGAGCGCTCACATCCCGGCGCTCAAAGATAACTCTGCTACAGCGTCTGGTATCGATCGTGAAGCGTCCGGTTGATCGTGAAGCGAGCGCTCACGTCCCAGGCAGCGTCCGGTTGATCGTGATGCGAGCGCTCACATCCCGGCGCTCAAAGATAACTCTGCTACAGCGTCTGGTATCGATCGTGATGCGAGCGCTCACGTCCCAGACAGCGTCCGGTTGAGCGTGATGCGAGCGCTCACATCCCGGCGCTTAAAGACAACTCTGCTACAGCGTCTGGTATCGATCGTGATGCGAGCGCTCACGTCCCAGACAGCGTCCGGTTGAGCGTGATGCGAGCGCTCACATCCCGGCGCTCAAAGATAACTCTGCTACAGCGTCTGGTATCGATCGTGATGCGAGCGCTCACGTCCCAGACAGCGTCCGGTTGAGCGTGATGCGAGCGCTCACATCCCGGCGCTCAAAGATAACTCTGCTACAGCGTCTGGTATCGATCGTGATGCGAGCGCTCACGTCCCAGGCAGCGTCCGGTTGATCGTGATGCGAGCGCTCACGTCCCAGCGCTTAAAGATACTCCACCGCAGCGTCTGGTACCGATCGTGATGCGAGCGCTCACGTCCCAGGCAGCGTCCGGTTGATCGTGATGCGAGCGCTCACATCCCGGCGCTCAAAGATAACTCTGCTACAGCGTCTGGTATCGATCGTGATGCGAGCGCTCACGTCCCAGGCAGCGTCCGGTTGATCGTGATGCGAGCGCTCACATCCCGGCGCTCAAAGATAACTCTGCTACAGCGTCTGGTATCGATCGTGAAGCGTCCGGTTGATCGTGAAGCGAGCGCTCACGTCCCAGGCAGCGTCCGGTTGATCGTGATGCGAGCGCTCACATCCCGGCGCTCAAAGATAACTCTGCTACAGCGTCTGGTATCGATCGTGATGCGAGCGCTCACGTCCCAGACAGCGTCCGGTTGAGCGTGATGCGAGCGCTCACATCCCGGCGCTCAAAGATAACTCTGCTACAGATGAAAATGACAGATGAAAAATTGCCTGCTTGGCTAATTCTGGTGCATGTACATAAACGTATTAGTGCATAATTTCCCTGTCAAATAAACTAATACAATAAATAAAATAAAGAACTGTTGCTTTAATGTCTCATGCTAAGAGAGACATTTCTTGTATCTTTTTGCCAATTTTAAGGCAGTCAAAAATGTGCACAAAATAATATACATTTTTACAGTGTAGTGACTAAAATAGACGGCCTGCTTCAGTTTTTTTGTATTTTTATGTGTGATGTGCTTTAAATAAGGTTTACATTTACCAAGGCAGCTACCTCCCAAAATCTCCACTTCCTCAGCTGCATATGGAGCGTGTGCCATAATTACATTTCCCGACAAAAGCCATTTCAAAACAAAACAAACTGGATCCTGTGAATACATAGTTTCAAAATTACGGTGCAACTCAAAGTAAAGCCAGGAACAGTCGTGCTTTCAAAGAAAACTGGATGTGGGCCTTTGATTTGAGAGTTTAACAGAACACGGACATGAAGGAGTGTGTTTAATATACACATTCAAAACACAGCGACAAAGAAAGAATAGACGTT